TTACATGGAAAATATTTTGCTTTAGCTACTAAATGCTCCACTTAGTTCACCAGGAAGTAACAAACTATCTCAATCTGCTGTTTTCAAATGATTGTGTAAAATTGGTTGTTAAAACTTGCTGAAAACAGCTACCTCTTGTTGGAAATGAGAGCTGTGAAGATTGAACCAGAACAGTAAATGATCTGTATTTATGTAGTGCTCGTCTTGATGACCGCTCAAAGCGCATTGCACACACATTCATAGAGTGCATCTACTGGCAGCACGTTTTTGTGTGCAGCTCATAAAAGTAAAACAAGAATCTATAACACAATAAAATGCACAGAGAGGAACAACACTTTCAGGGGGTTTGGCACCTTTTAAATTACAGTTATTTAGCTGCTTTTAAAAAAAACAATAGATTTTTTATACATTTACATCACTTGAATTCTGGTGGCTGATAAATCAACTAAAGCAATTATTAAAATTACATTTCATAACATTTTTACAAGCTATTTCTCTGAGAGCAGATCACTTGTGTTTTCAGATACAGTTCATGTCACTATGCACCTTTTTTCATAAAAATGTACCTCTTTAGATAAACATGTGCTGAGTTTTCAAGTGTAAAGCAATGACACACAGCATTTCTACTCACTTTCTTTGTCCAAGGTAATGTTGTTACTTTCCACCCAGGCAGAACTCTCTGAGCCCAATTGTGCCCGCACTCTGCCAGTATACTTTCCACTCTCAGTAATGAATGGATTGATGAGGTCACATTCAAGGGTGGAGATGTTCACACACCCTACTGTGTAGGGTGTGATAGAAGTTCTGTGAACAGATATTGTACTGGTATTACCAACTTGCCAGCAATGATTTCAGTTGGTAAGTGTGTTTGTAACTACAACATACAAAAAGCTGGAAGAACCATGGATGTTTGACTGTGGGCTTTACTGCAAACAAGTCTGAAAATACTTTGGATTATTCTGCTTTTTTAAAGCTACATTCATTGTGCTGAAGACATTATTAACACTTTGTACCCTCGTATTTACAGTATGATCACCTTAATTGTGCATACATGCAACCTCAAACAGACACAGAGCCACAATAGCATTTTATTTGGAGTTGTGTTTGTGTCCAGACTTCAGCAAGGTGAGGATCAAACATTTAACAAGTTATTATCTTGTTCACTTAATATGGATGATATACACAGTAAATATCCAGCTGTCCCAGATCAACTTTAAGCCTATTTCAGACATAAAGTCCACACAGGCTGTCCTCAGGGAATAATCAGGCTCTGTTTTCTGCTGAGCAGGTAGTGGCTTCTCAAAGCTTTTTCTCTGACATCTCTGCTATGCAGAAAGTGAGCTTGATGAAAATGTGACATGTCTGAATAGAATAGAAACTTTATTGTCATTGTACAACATACAACGAAATTAAGGTGCAGCTCCAGAAAGTGTTTCAAGGGATAGTTGACCCACCACCAAAGAAGCCCGAAAGCAATATTTACATTCACATTAGTGCAGCGAACACACACACAACCACACACACACACACACCAATAAAGAAACGGCCAGCTAAGATATGCAGGAAGGAAATTTAAAGAGGCCCTATTGTGCAACCGAGAGAAGAACATATTCACGAAGAAGAATAAATAGACAGCAGCTTAAAAATGGAACGTGCAAATATGAGTCAAACAGATCCTACAGTGCAAATAAAAAATGGACGATCATCTGTCCGCTTCTCTTTATAGTTTAGTTTTGGTCTCCAAAGCTGAGCTTGGTGGCTGTTATTCTTTGTCTGCCATTTGGCATTGGGCAGATATTTTGCTTCTTGTTCACCCTGCAGGAGTTCAGCTCTGTCTCCTTCAGTATGAAAGCATTGTCAACTCAAATCACACTTGGCTTGAAACATCTACTTTCAAACTGTCACAATTGAACAAGTGTAGAACACAGGTTATTTTTATTTAACTGTATAAAATATTTGTGGCAATCACATATCAGTACAATAGATATGTATTTCTACAAATTAAGAAAGGTGGAATGTGGAACAGCAGTGATAAGGAAAGTCATTAATAATTCAAAACAGACACTGACAGATTTGAATGGCCTTGACAGGGTTTCTTGGTACATGTTAATGTTGACTCACCTGTACTCAGTTCTGTAAACCAGGTTGTTGGATACCCCTTTAGGTGGATTCCACCTTAGGACCAGGTTCATGTTGTCGGAGGTCAAGTGGACATTTGTGGGGCTGCTGAGGATTCCCAATAACTCTGTAAAAAAATCACACCCAAACATTGAAGAACAAAGTTAGGATTATCATTGGTACAATGAGGGATGGAGACTTCAGACACGTGCCAACTACATATAATGGCACTAGAAGGAGAGATCATATCACTCCTGTCTTAGCTTCCTTACATTGGCTCCCGGTAAAATTTAGAATAGAATTCAAGATCCTGCTCCTCACATTTAAAGCCCTTCACAATCAAGTCCCTTCATATATCAAACAGCTCATAACACTGTATTATCCAAATACTACATTTTCTTCCCAAATCACAGGCTCTCTTGTGGTTCCAAGAGTCAGTAGGAGTAGAACAGGAGGTAGAGCATTCAGCTACCAGGCTCCTCTCCTGTGGAACCAGCTCCCACTCTGGGTTCAGGAGGCAGTTTTTTTGAAACAGCTTGGGCCTTAATACTAATTACTTATGGTTTGATTCTCACAGTCTATCTGAGTATTGACACAGATTATATTAATTCCTTTATGGTTACAGTTCACCATCTTCAATGTGCTAAAAAACAATGAAATGCGCAGAGGGGAACTGAAATGTCAGTGCGTTTGGCACTGGGTGTGAAATATGGGGGACTCGGGGGTTGCAAGACCCCTCGATTGACACCTGAGACCTCCTGAAAGCCTCAACAGCAATATCTCAGTTTTAGTCTTAAAATTGTCATTAAAATGTCTTTTAAAGCATACTAATAATGTTTAGTATTAGGTAGGCAGAGTTTCTGCTACATTTTATTTGCAGTGGTGGCCCGTTGCTGCTTCAGCTTTGGAGCAGACACACTGGTATCCTTGTACCATGCAACAATGCTAATTACAATCAGGACATACACCAGATTTCTTTCCGTAATCCGGCTCGACTTAATTGTTCACAAGCTAAGTGATCACATGAAGCAGGTTATCAACTAGTTAAGTCAACACAATCTTTCCTGCTTTATATATATGAGTGTGTGCACATGAAAGGGGCAGTGTGTACTGCATATGACCAATCACCAACATGGACAAGTATACTGACAGTAAACTGCAACATTAGTAAAATATGGGGACTATAGACACATTATCCAGATGAAATAAAAACACAGTAACAGTAGCTAAATACAGGAAGCACAGCTGTTAAAAAATCTTATTGTGTAAATGTGTAAGTTACCGAGCCCCCCCGGTGACATTTGGGAAATAACTATATTACGTGAATAAGATAACATGTGGGAACAATAATAATAATTCAGGGCCAAGAGATGTGAATCTGTTCTTTACTAAAAGGGCCTGTCGAACTGAACTGAAGAAGCCTCTTGGATGAGCGATGAACACTTCACCCTCCTCTTCCAAACATGAAAAAGAACCTGTGGTATCCTTCAGTTGTCATAAAAACTCAAAAGGTGTTAAGTTTGTTCAGTCTGGACTAATGTAAAAAACATGGCAGCCTCCATAGAGAGGACCCCCTCGATGTAAATATAAAGTATTTAAATATAAAGGGCCTTTTCTGGGCTAAAGAAAACTTTTCATTCATACAATTTAGATGAAACAAACAGCCGATAGTTCCCTTTCACCTAAAGCTTACACACTGGACCTTTAAAACATAATGACTGTGCAAGTGTTGGTATTTTGGTGACAGGATGTGTCAGGTTCACCTGGAAACAGGGAGAGATTGAGATGTACTGGATGAATTTAAGGACAGTGCACCAGTCCAGTGTAGTGTCATTTTGGTGAGGGATGAATGTGTGAGTCTCAGAGAGACAGAAAGACAGGGGAGGGAGGGATGGGAGCTGTCACAAGGTAAATCTGGAAACTATCTATCCCCCATTCTTATAAATATTTGATTTCATAGGATAAAGCTACTTAAAGGGAAGGAAAGAAGTATACAACTAACTGCTAACACACAGAGTACATCAATATCAGTAACTCCCACATGCAGAGAGTCTGTGGTACTTTGAGCACATTGCTCCTTTCTGCATGGTTGCTTATGTTGGGCTCCAGCAGTTGACAAAGGTTTATCATTCCCTCTGATGAGAATATAAATCCTTCATAAAGATACTCATTAGAGTAGGTCCAATTATTTTCTGAAGACTCTTCACAGGATCCTTTTAAAAGATGTTTTGCTCCAAGGTATCCATCAAGTACACATTTCCATGGTGACAACCTGAAGTTGCCCCGATAACCGCAAATCCTGTGTTGTAGTATAGGCCCAAGATCACTTCTATCCAGATACCATACTGTTTTCCTTTTTTGAACAAATGAACTGTACCCGCACAAAAAACACATGTTAATACCAGGTGTGTCCCAGGTCTAAGATAATGCTTCATGGCACAAATCTTCAGTGCCCTCCCCAGTCAGCAGATGTGAATGCAGTAGAACCACTGGGATGTGATATAACAGGAAATTGTGCGGCTAATAAATCTGCAGACATTATCTGATGTCATCATGTCAACATGGAAGTAACTGAGGCTGTGTGACAGCAGTTGCAGGAACTACCCAGGATCAGTTAAGTGTTTGTTGAGTGTTCAAATGATGATTGTTACCAAAAAGTGATGTCATGGTCATGGCTACTGCTCTTGAATAAAGCCACAACTACTCGTGTTGCCTTTGTTATGATCATCCTCCGGGTATCAAAGTTCACTCTTTGTTCCAACATACATTATTTCACAAACAGTGATACAGTATACGTGGTATATGGATAATGTGAGTAAGAAATAATTAACATTCATTATCTGATCAGGTGATCATCCACTCAGCATCACAACTTTAGTATCTTCATCCATGTGTTTTCTGTCGGAACAGTGACACCTGACACACAGCGGCTCCACAACACAGACACACTGTTATTACCTGTGGGTCGGCAAAGTGTAGAAAGAGTCAGGACGAAGGCAGTGATGGTGGCTGACATGTTTCTTCGAGGCTCCTCTGAGGTTACAATTCAGTCCAGCAAGTGTGTGACGGTGTGTTTCACTTCTGAGCCGAGTGTTTCCTGGTACACTTCACTCACAGGAGGCGGAGTGTCCGCGGATACGAAAGTACCAGAGGCTTCGAGTACTCTGACTGTGACGTCGAAGAGACGTCTTCCGCGCTGACAGTGGCTTCTGCAAGGAGAGGGGCTACTGCAGATGTATGCGTGTGTGTGCGTGTGTGTGCGTGTGTGTGCGTGTGTGTGCGTGTGTGTGCGTGTACGCGCATGTCTTTCTCTATCAGGGCCAATTTTGAATTTCCACATTTATTTAATCCCACACTTATTTATTTTTTACTCTATTTATTTCCACATTTATTCAAGTATTACCGTATTTATTTTCCACATTTATTCATTAATTATTGTATTTATTTCCCCGTTTATTTATTTCCACATTTATTCATTTATTACTGTATTTATTTCCCCGTTTATTTATTTCCACATTTATTCATTTATTACCGTATTTATTTCCACATTTATTTATTTCCACATTTATTTATTTCAACATTTATTCATTTATTTGTATATGTATTTCGACGTTCTAACCTCTGTCTCGAGCAGGATTGGTCAACTGAGCGATCCAGACAGAAGCAATCTGTTCCTTGCGAATCTTCCCTATAGTGTAGTTAGCAAAGTNACCGTATTTATTTCCCCGTTTATTTATTTCCACATTTATTTATTTATGTATTTCTGTGTCCACATGTAAATGAGGTAGGAGGTCCTAACCTCTGTCTCGAGCAGGATTGGTCAACTGAGCGATCCAGACAGAAGCAATCTGTTCCTTGCGAATCTTCCCTATAGTGTAGTTAGCAAAGTGAGTGACCGTTACTCATGTTCATTTTTTAAATCATCATCATATCAGTGAGAGAAAACGTGTGTGTGTGTGTGTGTGTGTGTGTGTCTAATTCTTTTAAACTGGAAGAACGCTTTACCCCCACCTTATGATCGGTGGATCAAAGATGATCTCCATGAACTAAAGCTTAGAGGCTCCTTGAAGAAATTTGACATAGTCTGGAATCCTTTGGCTGTCCACAATGACTAGAAGTCAATGCAAAGTCTTGTCTGAGGGTACTGTTGCTTGTGTTAAGTATGCAGAGACTGTAACTCAATCTCTACTATAATAGAATAGACTATACTCAGCATACGTCAGTATAGAGCATAGAGAGCTCCATGGGATCTTCTAAGAACTGTGATGTCATGTTTCAAAGGAACTGATTGGTCAGTGGTGCAAGCTTACCAGTCACCGACAGAGTTTCCGCAGGTCCACAGCACGGAGGCTCTCATACAAGAAGGCTCAGTCCAATCATTTGATTCTGCTATTGATGACTGAGTCTATTTCATTTCCCGAATTAATTCATGATTCATTTATAGATTGCTTGCCGTTAACATTATCACTTTAACATAATATCTGCCACCATCACACGAATGACCACCTTTCCATTCCATTACTATAAATCAGTAAGATCATTTCAATACATTTAGCATATTCTGTGTTATCATCATTATGAATATTCCCTTCATAAAAGATATTAGTCAATAAATCTCATATTTTTGGACCTAGCTACATTTAAATATCTATAAGCATGAACCTAGCTCAGCAAACGCCATTTTACAAACACTGGGGATGAGATAAAGCCAAGATTTCCAACAGAGCCCAAAGAGATTGGGGAATTACAGTGCTTGAATGAAAGCTAATGTGGACCTTTTCAATATTAGCAAATCAAACCAAAAAACTGAAGAAAAAAGCAAAAGTGATTCAAAAAAGACTTTGATAAAGAGTGGATTAGGTCTGTGTACCCAAAGCACTGATAATGTCAGAAGTCAGAAAAAAGTTGATTAGTAGAATAAAGTTAATGTTAAAGGTAATTACATCAATATTGGTTTAATAAAAGCTTTTTATTTTATTTGTGAATGCACATACAGCATTGTAGAATCCAGACTACTTTTCTCCAGCATTATTTACTTTATTCATCATTGATTTCCAGCTATCTGATCTTCATACAAGTGGAATCCAAGTGTTTCCCAATTTCTTGCACACATCACGGTGGTGTGCCACCATAATAAAAGCATCATCATCCAGATTAGATAACAGTATCAAAAACATTTGTTGAAAAAACATGGTGAACTGGATAAAAATTGTCAACATGAAATAATAATGTCATCCAATGGCATATTCTCGTTGTATACTATAACAGTTTCTTTATAAGACCAGTAACCATGTGAAGAAATTAAGAAAAAAGTACCACTTTGCTAAAAGGATAGACAGCCACATTCAAAGAAACATTTCAGTCCACTTTGCGTATTTTTACATTTTTGCCTTATTACTGTAAACTCATGTATGAGTACAACTCATTTCTGTTATGAATATATAATCTAGTTGCTAAAATCATCATTCATTAGTTAGGTATTGTGATCAATCATCATGTGATCCAAGTATTCATTGAATTTTTAAAGTCTTTTAAATTACAAAGACTTCATTCACCTAAAACACATTTAGAGTCAGAAGAAATTACATAAAGTCGATTTTTCATCAATTTACAAAAACTTCACTCTGATACTGATCCAGAGATTTTGCTCTCAGCTTCCTTCAGCTCTAAAACCAGTCGGCCCAAGCAACTCTACCGAAACAAGCTCCTCTGATCTTTAGGGTTAGCGCCAGTTCTCTCCCCCTCACTGCTGCTCCTCAGGGCTCTTCATGATGTATTTGTGCATGACTGGAGATAAAAGGGACAATGACAGAGACAGTCACACTTAAATCAATCAGTTAACAGAAATCCTTACCGTAACATTTTGAATAAAACACTTAAACTGATGATGACTTTTCAATTTAGTGCTTTAGGATTTTGTCAATGAATAATAAACAACAACAAACAGTAAACAAAAAAAGTAAATCCACAAACATCACTCACTCTACTATACTCTCTTACATGTACCATCATACTCTCCCACACACACTACTCATGTTGTCGGCCTCTGGACAACTAGTGTGTCCCCAGGCATAATGCTCTACTATATTTGTATATGCACATTTATATTAATATAATAGATGATTATATTATATTAATATAAATACTATATTAATATTCATTTTAATTTGCATGTTTACTTCTTTTGTTTCAGTTTAATCTGGTTCAGTGCGCGCACTTAAGGCTGGAGAAGATGCAAAACAGAAAAGATTTGAATCTCCTGAAGATGTAACTGTGAAAACTTCACCTCCTCGTAGTTAGTTTACGATCCAAGAACAAACTCACAATAAACGAAAAATATTTCATTTTGAGAGAAAAGGCCATTTAGACAAACAGACTCGGCACTGATTGCATTCAAAGTTATGAGAAGAAGTAAAATGCCATGAGACATGACGGCAGCTCATGGTGCATGATTCAAACACATCAGTAAAACACAGCTGCACAAGTTAAATGCAGAACTGGGTCCCTTATCTCCATGTTAGTACAGCACACTGGACACAGATTCAGTATTGCATCATATGAAAAGAAAAAGATAAGCTACCACGCAACATTCCTTAAAGTGTCATTGCCACAGGGGAAGGCAGAGCTCAAGACTCCTCCCTAGCACAGGTGTCAGGTATTTTCCCAGTCTCCAATCAGAACTAACTGAATGGTGTTTTTTTGGCATAAAGGTAGCAGAGCAGAGCAGCCTCGGCCTCTTGTTTCTTTGCCACTTGGACACTGAGTGGAGAGGATCCCTGCATGGACTGTGGAGAAAGTGGACGCACATAACTGTGGACCTGGAGCATTCTGGTGGAAAGTAAACCTCTTTGTTTTAAGAACATTGGGTCTGGTCTGGTTTAAAAAATATATATTTTAACCAAAGAAGGAGAAAAATTAACTCTTAATTATGTCTGTTGACATGACACCAGCCTCTGGGTATTTATCTTTTTATGGATTGTGACAGCGCCCAACAATTTCTGGGAGTGGATATCCTCATGAAGGACCCTGCAAGGACAGGAGGTACTAACTAGGAGAGACAGCCAGGGAGAAAGGTTTAAAGGACTCCTCTCCAGCTGCTGTACACCTGAACCTCCAGGTGTGTTCTATTTTCTGTCTTTAAGACAAACCATTGGAGGCAATAACACTGGAAGTCAATTAACCATCTTGTTTCCTAGAGTCTGCAGCAGCTGGACTAAAGTTTGAGCTGACCCCCCCTCCACTTATTATTGTGCATTATTGTGGGTGTTGAATGTCTGGTCATTCCATCAAGCTCTTTTTTTAATTTATATTTTTGTATTCAAAATACCTCAAATCTTAACATAACTAGCACAGCTTTCAGGATAGTAGTATGAGGTTCACAACTTCGGTCCAAACCGAAATATCTCAACGACTGTTGAAAGGATGATTTTATGGTTCTACTGACATTGGTCAATGTTTAAGATTTCTCAAATAGTTTGGTTCAAAACCACTCTATCAGTCCAGTTAATGAGCTAAGATGGTAAGAACATCAGAGCTGTTATTGAATCTGTTACACATGTCACACAACATTAGCATTTTGCTCAAAGCATCTAAGTACAACCTGCTAGCATGGCTGTAGACCCTTACTGGTGTTGCATGTTTACTGACCTGTTAAACTGAATGATAAATAATTGCGTGATCAAAAAGATTTTGGATTATTTCTTTTGATTGCCTTTTACTCATTCATCTGCTACATCTACTGTACCAATCATTTCATGTCCCTTCAATAGTTTAAGCTTCATCTTGTTTCGAATAATTCTGTGTCCCAGCACAGTTGCATCGCTTACCAGAGATGTGAATAGGTGTCGTCTCAGTATTTTGAAGCTCCGCTGACCACTATTCAAAACCAATCCAGTGATGAGGAAGCCCAGTATACAGAAAAAACCCAGCGCACCGATGACCAAATACGCTGTAAAAAAAGACATGTTAACTAACAACAAACTCAACTTTGCTTTTTGGAATATACATTTTGAATTGAATAAGGAATGGTATTACATGCGGAAACACAAAAAATTCAGTTTTTACTGCTGATTGGCTAATTGGCATGTACTTACTTAACTTAGTCTATTCAAACATATACATTTACTTAAAAATGTTAAACATTCAGATACTCAATAAATCCTACTTTCATGCAGACAGCTTTAGTGACACCTGATTAACTGACAGCTGAGTACATCACTTCACAGCAGAGAATATGTTTATACAGTTTATCTTAAACCAATACTCACATTCCCAAATGTACATTAAAACATTCACTGTCCAAGGTAATACAAATTGGAAATTTTGTACTAAAGTAACTGATGTTCAACATCAACCGGCACCTCCAGTCTGCATTCAGAAGTATCAGAGGACAACCCCTGTCTGTGCCGACCGTGTATGAATGATGTGTGATTAAGTGCTTTGTATAGATGCACTGTAATGTACTTTGAGTGGTGGCTTCGACTGGAA